ACTAGAGTCGTGTCGTGTAATAGGAATCACTGTAACTAAATGGATTGGACTACATCTAGTATTGCACCACCGGCCGCACATGTTCGCGAAGAACAAATATTAGCTAATAAATTACAACTGAAATAAATTGATAATAGAATACAAAATAAATATTTACAATTAGAAAGTCGACGAGCAGAAGACTCGGACCCATTTCCGGCGAAATTCGCTAGAGAATGATAAATATGACAACTAAACCCGACCAACGAACTTGTTTGCTATCCGCAAATAAAACTTTCAATAAAAATTGATAATGATGAATTAAAATTATAAGTTACTCGCCTTCTTTGCTCACAGACGATTGGCACATTAATTAGAAACTCTTGACCCACTCCGACTTATGCAGATTAATTCGTAAAACTAGAAATTGTTGAATTGGGAGAATTCCATGCGCTTTCTCCAGGAATTATTAACTTAATATCCAAAATATTTATTTAAGAATATATTACACCCTTTTCGCAAAAATTCACATTTTTTGAATTTTTCTAGTAAATTGTTAATCGGATTGACGTGAAAAAATATACCGTTTTTGCGTTTTATCATTACTTAATCACTCACGGAATTTCATGATCGTACAATCATTTCCCTGCGTTTTTGCTTCCGAATGGAAGCATTGTAATCGTGCTGTTTTCACATTCTCTAATTTTGGTTGGAAATGGTGTAGAATGGTCTGAAACGTAAAAATTCGAAATTTGGCGACCATGTCTGTCGATGTCAATGTCCATCGCCATCTGTCCGGTGGTAATTTTTAGAAAATTGAGTAATTAATTGGCTAAACTCATTCCAAAAAATCGGAAATTTTGTCAGATTATAGACCTTAACAAGGACTAACTCTGTGCAAAAGTTCAGCCCGATTGATCAAATAGTTTTTGAGAAAAAGCTATTCATTTTTAAATCGTTTTTCGCTAATATCTTCGAAACTAGTCAACCGATTTCAATTTTTTTTCCTCAAAATATTCGTTTCGATGTCTTCTATCCGAATCAATCAAAACATATATACCGGTTCATACAAAGTTTTCGAGATATTTCCGTTTTTCTGTTTTTTCATAAAAATCCTTGTAATCACTCTAGCTTGTGCAAAAATTGAGATATCAACTTGAAACTTGTACAGAATCTTCCTCTCATGATAACAATACTACCTATTGAAAATGAGCTTCTATCGCATAGGTAGTTTCCGAGATATTCGACTTTCTCTGAAAACCTTTTATGTGCAATAGCTTCAAAACAACACAACCGATTTCAATTTTTTTTTTCAAAATATTTGTTTCGATGCCTTCTATCCGAATGCCTTCTATCCCATTCGGAAGCTTACTACCAATGGAATCGGTAGAAATGAAAGAAAGAAAAAGGTTTATAACACATAAAGTAACGGTCAGATGGCTTCGCCCAAAAAGGCTCGAACCCCTGCTTGTTTCTAAAACTTTTCGGAAATTCACGAAACTTTAGAAAAAATGCAGGAAAATGATTGTACTACCATAAAACTTCGTGAGTCAGTCAATAATGATAAAACGCAAAAACGGTATATTATTTTGCGTCTATCCGATCAGTAATTTATCAGAAAAATGAAACAAAAAAGTGAATTTTGGCCGAAAGGGTACTGTAGTACATCCTTAAGTCTTCCAAAAGACGGAAAAGTTGAGTCAAAACTCGGATGAACTTCGTTTTCTATTCTACTATTGAAACTTATTAAATAGAATTATTAATGAATTATTAAGAACTCAATGATTTGGAAATAATGAAGATCTGACGATAGCTTTGAAGATTTTCAATCATCAAATATATGAATAAAATTGCATGAGAAGAATTAAAAAAATTTCCTTTTTCTTAACGTTTTCTCCTCAAAATTGAATAATGTTCAAATAATAAATTGCTCAAAGCCCTGAGGAGGCCGTCAGCGTGTGGCTACTTAGTCCACACGCTGATAGGAAAAAGTATGAAATTTATGTGAAGAGTTGAAACTTGGCTATGTTATGTTTTTCGATGTGCCTAAACTGAATTTGTAACTTAGCCCGCAATGTGTTTATGCAGTCACTAGTTATTAGCAATTAAATTATTTTAATGCGTTTTACGCTGCAATTTTGGTAGATATAAAAAAATGGTTTAAGCAAACAATATTGCTAGAAATCTAACGAACAGAATGAATTTCGATTGTTGAAAATCACTCAATTTTTGGGGAAAATATAATAGTCTGCAATAATTGGGCGGTATTGTTATCTGTGACGCGTGGAGTGGTGCATACACCCGTAGGGTCTTCCGAGCCCAACGAATTGATAGAATTCAGTGGTGAAGTGATAAAACGGTACAGGTCAATTTTGACTATTGACCCGTTTTCAATGAATATCTCGGAATCTAAGGGAGATAGCAAAATGTTTTTAAAACCTTTTTTGTAGAGCCGATTGAGAGCTACAACAAATGTAATTACGAAAATTTCGTTATCTCCCTTAGATTCGGGAATATTCCTCAAAAACTCAACTGGGAGATAAGTCTACTTAAACCGCTTTATCACTTCGCTACTGAATTAAAGAAGGGAAGGATCCTATCGTAAAAAGAAGAGAAATCGATCTCGACATATCTCGACTAAGCGTAAGCGTAAGTCTGAAACCAAAGTGCCTCTACGTGAGGGATGAGAAGGCGCGTGCGTAGCACGTGCGGCCGATCTCGTTACATTAAAGAAAGGAATTGATTAGCGCTCCACATCTTTGTGACGTCATAGGAAATGATTGGATGGGATTTGGATGAGGTAGGAGGGGAACCGGGATTATTCTCAATATGAATATTCTGGAAGCAGAAAAACTTTGAAACAAAAATTTGCGTCAAAAGATTCTAAATATATATTGGTTCTTTATCCTTCTAACACTCGTAATTTTTGGTGAAGATTTTGAATTTTCAACATACCCTATATAGACCTGTGGGACACCCCCAGAAAAGTCCGTCATATTGAGAGATGATAAAAATGTAATTTTGAGTCAATTATAGAGGGCGCAATGGTTCCAAAAGGTGCGGATACTGGTAAAAATAGATCGAAATCGATGTCCGATGTCATTGAATATTTATTAATGTATTGTGTGACATTTTTTCTTGCAGAAATTTCAAATATTATGTCTCTCTGAAATATATCGAGTCATTATTACTGAATGTTAATGAAAATTTCGCGGAATTCACCCCATAGAGTCTTATTGAAGAGGGTTCGGGGCCTTTAAATTGATTAAAAAATGCATTGTCTATACATCTTGATCATAATTAATGGATTAAAAAATAAATTACGCACTAGTCCGCGGTTGAAAACCGGGTGCATCCCGCGGCTCTAATACTACACTGAGAGAAAAACGACAAAGTTCTCAAACAAGTCTTACTTGTGCCAAGAAAATAGTTTTTTGGAAATTATCAAAAAAGGATTTTTTTGTCCCAAACATGCAGAGAGTGCGCTGGAATGAAAATTTGTTGTCGCAAAAATAGATTTAGTAGTTCAAAAAAATTGCATTCTCTGTAGACGCAAGAAATGTCATTTCTAGCACTACTCCTTCGTTATTCGATACTCCCATACGTATGTTGCTCCCGAAAAATCATTGTTTTATGTGGAGCAAAGGATAGTAGATTGTCGTTTCGGCTCTCTAATAATCACAGACAAGAAATGAACCCTTAAGTGAAAGAATAATAATGATATGATGGCAATCTTCACTGAGAGTAAAATATGATTCATCTGACTATATTCCATCACCATCGAATTATAGTCAAAAAGTCTTCAACAATTTTTTATGGGTTACGGTAACTATGGCCGGAGAAGTAATTACTACAATGGAATGTAGTCATTGCAACTATTTTATAGTTCTACTCACGATAGATTTGTTGTGGTTACTTTTGAACTTTGGTTAGTTTAACTGCATTTTGATTTGCAAAAATTACGCTTGTGAAGTTACTATAATGTTATGTGCCGCATACAAAAAAAAATCGTATTGTTTACCAAAATTGCCTCAAATATTTTCTTATTGTAAATCGAACTTCAGATTTTTCTCTCAGTGTTGGTGTAACTTGGGGATAAAATATTTGTTGATAAATTTTCCTCTATATGAGATATTTTCATCCTGAAAAGGCACCGTCTGGTGTGAATTATCCGCCTCTTGAGCCAAATATTTCGTGGCTGTCGAAAGCAGAACAATTATTCATGTTTGACACTTTCAAATTCGAACCAAACAAATTCTTTTTTGGCAATTTTCAACTAGTGATTTTGTTGGCCCAAACAAGACTTTTTTGACAACGTGTTTGTTTTTCTCTCGGTGTATGCATGCGCTACTCCACGCGTCGGAAGTGGCATGACCACCCAATTGCTGTAAACTTCCGCAAAAATTGACCGACCTCCAAAAATCAAAATTCTTATGTTCATTAATTTTCAAAAAACATTTCGAAAATGGAAATCTATCAATTCCTCCATGAATCACTCTAAAAAAGAACATTCCTTATGATTTTATTACTTAAACTTTTCGGGTCAGAATCTTTAAAACTTTAAATAATAAAATAATGATAATGATAATTAAATAATGATAACGATTGATAATGATAATTGAAGAATAATAATGATTTTACTATTTAAACTTCTGAGGTCGAAATTTCAAAAATTTTAAAAAATAAAATCGTTGCGATATTTTCGGTAATCTAGCATTAAATGAAACTCCAATAGAAGCTCTGACATTCGTGCAGCATGCGTATAAATGTGGAAAAGTATTCCAGCGAAAATAAATGGCCAAAGTACTTGGATTCTTAAAGGGTAACAAATTCCCGCTAATTTTCCAATTTTTTGAACAAATTTCCGGCTGAAATTTATCGATATTTCTACAAATCGAAGCACATTAATCTCCAGGAAGCGATCATAAATATCAATGTGCTTTGGGTTAAAAAAATATTAATAACTTTGAGCAGGAAATTTGTTTGAAAATTTCGAGAAAGCGGTAGCCTTCTATCATTCCTTAAAGAACTAAGCTATTCCTTCTGCTGCCCCCATGCGGCAGAACCGTAACAAAGCTCTCATTCTCACTATCACTGGTATTGAAACTCGCCTGTCTCTCGACCCCAAGAGACCTGAACCCATTGCTCCTGACCCCAATGTCCACCCCGGAGTCCATGCTCTTGGTGAAACTCTCCCCATGAGAAAGTCTCCTAAAATTCCCAAAGAAGACGCTATCAGTCCCAACACTCTCCGCTCCACTCTCACTAGCGCCATCGCAAATCGATTCAGTCTCATCAGTCTCCGAGACACTCCCAAAGTCATACTTTATAGCCTGCTTCTGAGACTCATTGCTATCCGTGCTGGAAAGATATCCGCTGTCCTCAACCTTTCCGTGCTGCGCATTTCTGAACCTCTTCATGGAGTGCCCTGGAAGGGCTCCAAGGCTTCCCTTGTAATCTGATAAGAATTTTCTGTCCAATGTCTTCATCCCTACGAGATGTTCAACACGGACAGGAGGGCGTCCGCCGGCCGTAGGGGCGCCTGCTTCAGCTGAGCTCCTGTCCCGTTCGTTTTTTGACCCGTCATTTCTTCTCGGTGGTTTCGGATGTTCGTAGATCCCCTCAGTAGGTGGCAGTGGCACCACATCCGGTTGGTTCTGCTTCCTCTGTCTCCTCGCCTGTCTCTGATCAGGTGTCAAGTACTTCGAGGATTTCCAGGTCCCATTCTCCTCAAACTTGTCACTGAGCGAGCCATAACTACTCATCAAATTCGAATCTGCAGCATTTGCGTGTAGTTTGGCTTCATAAATCTCTCGAAGACTTCCATAACCCTTTGACAAGGAGCCATCGGGACTATTCGGCTGTATATCATCCCTAAAACTCCCCTTACTCCTCAGCAAAATCTGCGCAGGCCTCTCCAAAGAATCCACAAAAGACTCATTCATCTGTCCTTTCTCATAAATTACATCTCCATTGATTTTCAATTTCATTGGTTTTCTGTCGAGCGTGTCTGGTTCATACTCGGACTCATCCTGTTTAACATAGTTGTCCGGCGAGTCTTGGACCTTTATCGTCAAGTGTCCAGGATTTTCCGGCTCATAACTAATTTCCGGACTTGAATCATCACTGTTCGCTGGACTCGCATACCCGTCATTAACATAAACTTCACTGACCAATGAATAACCTTCGGGCCGTTGGGAAATCAATTCCGGTAGAGTATTGTAATAATTTCGTCTCAGCACTTCGTCATTTGTTTCAATTTTCTTCGGCTCATTCTCCGCTACTTCTGATTCTTTTATTTCGTTACTTGTCTGGGGGGTGAGTGTGGACGATGGTGATTCTTTCTCTTTGGCTACTGGTTTCTTCTCCCGTTTACGACGATTCGTCCTCTCCAAGCTGTCCACCTCGTAGTCGGTTAATCTGTGGTGATGTTCCAGGGCTTTCACGACTACCATTTCCTTTATCACCGCATCCATGATTGTTTTGACTGGGAATTTCGAAGTTGGGAGCTCTGGGATCATGTCTGGGAGGTCTTTCGTGGGAACCGGAGGGGCCTGTGATTTCTTTCGTCTGATTGTATTCTCGGGGGATTTCTTGACGGTCTTAGAAGATTTAAGAGATTCTTTGTTCGTCTTTTCTGAGCTTCCGTCGGGGGAGAAACGTTGCTCATTCTGGCGTCTCTCGTTCTCCTGCATCGCGTTCTCAAGAGCCGCGTTTTCCTCCATTTGCTTTATGAAGGAGTTCTCGATGGCTTTCCGGACTTTGGCGTTGAGGAAGTCTTCCGGCCCGTTTGACAGCTCGAGCTGACGTCTTCTTGTTCGACAGAAGCGATCGTAGTTGGTGTCCTCGAACATTGACTTGGTGGATCGTCTGGAAATGCTGTGCTGGTCATCATCGCCCATGATCTCGCTCCTCGCTATGTGCTGGAAGGTCCTCAGCATCGGTGGATTGTCCTTCCAGGTAGCGAGTGACGTAGTAGTACCGTTTCTAGACTCGGCTTTGAAGAAATCGTTTTTGGGATCGCGCAGGTGTTCAAGACTTCTCGCAAAGGTTCGCACATTCTCCTGGAAGTTCTTTCGGTGGTCTTCCAGGTCCCTCCAACGACGCTCTGGGGGTTTGACGTCCGCCAACCAGGCTCTGACTCTACTCTCACCGGGAATTGGTCGCGAGTTGTCGGGGAGAATAGGGGGATTGGGACGGGAGTCTGTGCAGCCGGGGCAACCGGTGCATCTTTGGGACTTTCTGGAACGTGCCACAGACTCCTGGACCGAACCTGCACGCTTGTTCTCGGAAGAACTGCAACGTCCGGAAGTTGATTCCTCCTCGGGGATCCCCGAGAGGGACGGGACGAAGCGCTTGGCTGCCATTTTGTGTTTTGCGATGGAAATCACCTCGCGGATTTTCAGGAGGAATTCTATGGCTGCTGGTGGCGGAGCCTGGAACAATAATTCATAATGATGTTTATTCTTTTTTGTGCCATTTAAAAATGTCCCTGGAAGTACCTGGTTTCCAGTGAAAATATATGGATTTCAGAACGCTAGTACTGAAATGGAGAACTTGCATGAATTTTTTCAGTTTTTGGTAAACGCGTGCTTGGAAAAGTCCCTTTTTGTTTACAGATTTTTGTGCATAAAGCGGTACTTTTGGTTACTTTCACGAGAGTAAACGAAAAGTGAATCCCGTAAACGAAAAGTCATTTTTCGTCAAAGAGAACTAGAAGGTAGAAAGAAAAATCCCATACCGCCTAGCCGGGATTCAAATCCGGGTCTCCCAGTTACGCGCCGGGGACTCTCCCAACTAAGCTACAGGGAACTACGGAAATTTCCTCTCAAAATTCGCCTGACAACACCGCCTAACCACCTTTAGGCATTAAATAAATTCAAAGAGAATTAGAATTTAGAGAGAAAAAAATCCCGCACCGTCCAGCCGGAAGTCGAACCCGGGTCTCCCAGTTACGCGCCGGGCACTCTCCCAACTAAGCTCCCGGGAACTACGGAAATCTTCCCTCCAATTTCGCCTCACAACACCGCCTAACCACTTTCAGGCATTAAATCAATTCAAAGAGAATTAGAATTTAGAGAGAAAAAAATCCCGCGCCGTCCAGCCGGGATTCAAACCCGGGTCTCCCAGTTACGCGCCGGGCACTCACCCAACTAAGCTACGGGGAACTACGGAAATCCTCCCTCCAATTTCGCCTCACAAAGCCGCCTAATCACCTTTAGGCATTAAATAAATTCAAAGAGAATGAGAATTTAGAGAAAAAAAATCCCTCAACTAATACGACGATGACGACGAATAGTGAAACCACTTTTCATTTATAACAGCTGACTTTATAGTTACAGTATAAGTTCAAAATATTAAGATAATTTTCCTCTGGAAAACCGAAGTGACTATCAAAAAGGTCTTCATCAATAAACATTTTAGCTTCAATTTGATGGATATCATCACTTCTGCTTCGAATTGAATGAATAACTCACCAGGAGAAATTGTCTCTCAAAGTACGCAGGATTGAAATACAGTTTTCGCCTCTGCACCCCTGGCAGCATCGAACTATCCACCGCATGCGTGCCCTCGAAAGTCTCCACAATCCTGACATCCTCATCGGGAATCCTCTCACCAATGATTGGAGACCCAAAGGGACCGTCTGTCTGCTCCACGAACGTCTGCGGGTGGATGACAGCGGAAGTGACTTTCTCAAAACCCGGGTCGGTGTCACTGGGACTCAAGTCCTCCCCATGGTCGCTCTCACTTCTCACACTATTTGAGTCGCTCTCAAAGTGTCTGGACGCCAACAAGGGGTTGCTCTTCACTAATACCGTGCCCTCGCGACCAGCTGTGATGGCAATCTCCGGATCCTGGAGTTTCTTTCGACGAGATTTCTGACTGTGCAGATACAAAGAAACGCTGACGACGTAGATCAACGCCAGGAGGACCGAGGATATTCCAATTGCCGTGTACTCGAAGCTGGAGAGACCTCCGGGACCTTGAGTCGATGAGGCGAACGATACCTCTCTGATAACTACGGAATAGAGTGAGAGAGAACTATAGATAACAATGGATGGAAATTTACGGGGATACGTTGGTGAAATTTATAAGTCTCCACTGAGCCTTAGGACCCATTGAACGACAAAGCACGTCTAAAAAACTGCGTTAAAAAATTCTTGTTAAATTCAAGTTGGGGAAGTGAACTTTTGGTTAATTGAACTTTTGTCAAAAATTGAACCTCCGACAATAAAAACCTTAGGTTATCTGGCCGTTTGTAAGAACATAGGTAACACCAGTGTTTGTGATTGGAATTTCAGAGTGCAATTGTATTATTTATTTCCTCGTGGATATGAATTTGTGTCAAATCATTTGTAATCAAGACTTAATGCTGTTCATTTTGGATATGATGGTTTGCATTGTGGTTCGTTCGATTTTTTCCATTTTTCCTTCCGAACGAAAGCTTACAAAGCTTACAAAGCTCGTTCAACAAATTTATGTTTCAAAATTTTTGTGTCAGGGCAACTAAATATGGTCCAAAAAGACCGAATATGTGATTTTTAGAAGGTGTCTGTATATATGAACTTTTTTTTCAATGTTTTTGCAATTTTCTTTATAGGGGAGGGTAGGATAAATTGGAAACTTTTGACTTTTTAAAAAATATTCATGACGTGTTGAATTGTTCATGAAATAGAACAATTCTATTTTTCAATTGAAAGAACAATAATTCCTCTTTGTGATGAGGTTGGAGCTCAATTGATAAATCTGTTTCTGAGTTATGAATATTTAAAAAAAAGTCAAAAGTGTCCATTTTACCCCACTTTTTCAAGTTTTTTGAAGTTCAGGTTGTTCGAATTTTTCTTTCTTCAAGTTTTTTTGTTACCAAGTTGTTTTGACCAAATTTAGTTGACCAAGTTGTTTTGACGAAGTTTTTTTCACGGAAGTTTTTTAGACATGGACCTTTGAACAGTTTGTGATATCTAACGGGATATGAGAAGAACTAGGGAAATTCGTGGAGCCGATCGATTTTGTCCCGTAAAACCACGAAAAACTTCATTTTTTTGCTGTTTTTACTTTCGTAATGCTCTCCTTGCGCATTACGAGTAATGCGCACGGAGAGCATTGTTTTTTTCAAATGTTCGTAATACTCTAAAGAATAAAGTTAAGCATTCTTTTTGTCTTATTCGCAATACATCATAAATAAATCAATTTTGAATTTCATAAATTTTTCCCGTTTCTAGAGTAGGACTAAAAATTAATTGTTGTTAGTAACTGAACATTGTAATCATGCGTAATCCAATTTGTATGAACAAAAAAAATGGCAGGTAGAAGCGAAAAGGCGGGCTTAAAAGAAAATTTATGAAAGTCAAAATTCACTTACTCGTGATCTATTGCGAATAAAGTAAAACGGATGCTTACCTTTATTCACTAGAGTGTAACGAACGTTAAAAAAAAGCTAAAACTGTATGAGAACGACGGCGCAAGAGGCATTTTGATTGTGAAAACAGGAAAAAATGAAGTTTTTCGTGGTTATACGGGGTAAAATCGATCGGGTCCGTAATTCTCCCTAGTTATTTCTACATTCCGTCATATATCACAAACTGTTTAATGAGTCCCAAGGCCCAGTGAAGACCTTTAAATTTCACTGGCGTACACCGAGAAAAATGTTCAGTAAACATTACGGAACGAACAGTTCGCTCACCGATTACGGAATCGACTCAGAAAATTTAAGTGACGGTATCATAATTTTTCACAGGAGATTCAGGTAAAAATTAAGGAACGCTCCGGAAAAATTCCGTGACAGTTCCGTAAAATTTCCTACAACCACATTTTACTCAAGAGGTACGGAAAAGATACGTAATTTTTATTGAATATTTCTCTCCGTGTATCCCCTCAATTTGAGACACCCTATATAATCGATCTTCAATGTATGAAAAATCTCACTCCAATAGCCCGCGACTTAAAAAAGTTATAGTACACGGAGAGAAATTTTTGATAAAAATTATGCTACCGTTCTATAAAAGTGTATCATGAGTGATCGTTTCCATCCCGAAATTTGGTAGAAATTAATATATGCTGATGAAATTTTATTCTGTGTTAGAGAAATTTTATCCTGATAAAGATAAAAATTACCGTGCCCGTAGAGTAAAAATTACTGTACCGATAGGGTAAAATTTACCAACCGTTCTAGAATTTTCGTTGTTATCAACATAAAAATTACTGGACTGGAAGGGTAAAATTTAATATGCGTCAGGATAAAATTTCTCTAACTTAGAATAAAATTTGATCATTATATGTGGACGTCCGCATGAAAAGCGACTACTTTGGCACTATTGGAGTTATGTTTATTCCCATAATCTTGATCCGATTCTGAACATTCAGAGCCCAGAATGAACTTGATAGCGTAAAGAGTGACGACGCTAAAGAAGATCGAAAAAATAATTTAACATGGGTTCAAATGCGAGTTAGCAAGAGAAAAACGTGAATATCTCGGAAATTAGAATCGACGAAAAAGTGGTCCCTTTTCATGCGAACGTCCACATATATTAATTTTTACTAANAAAAAAGTTATAGTACACGGAGAGAAATTTTTGATAAAAATTATGCTACCGTTCTATAAAAGTGTATCATGAGTGATCGTTTCCATCCCGAAATTTGGTAGAAATTAATATATGCTGATGAAATTTTATTCTGTGTTAGAGAAATTTTATCCTGATAAAGATAAAAATTACCGTGCCCGTAGAGTAAAAATTACTGTACCGATAGGGTAAAATTTACCAACCGTTCTAGAATTTTCGTTGTTATCAACATAAAAATTACTGGACTGGAAGGGTAAAATTTAATATGCGTCAGGATAAAATTTCTCTAACTTAGAATAAAATTTGATCATTATATGTGGACGTCCGCATGAAAAGCGACTACTTTGGCACTATTGGAGTTATGTTTATTCCCATAATCTTGATCCGATTCTGAACATTCAGAGCCCAGAATGAACTTGATAGCGTAAAGAGTGACGACGCTAAAGAAGATCGAAAAAATAATTTAACATGGGTTCAAATGCGAGTTAGCAAGAGAAAAACGTGAATATCTCGGAAATTAGAATCGACGAAAAAGTGGTCCCTTTTCATGCGAACGTCCACATATATTAATTTTTACTAAATTTCGGGATAGAAATGAGGAAACGATGACTCATGATACACTTTTATAAAGCGGTAGGGTAATTTTTATCAAAAATTTCTCTCCGTGTAGTCTCCCCTAATCTTTCTTCTAAAGTTTCTTAAAATATTCCTCAATGAATTCGCCAAACTCAAGAATATTCGCGGAATGATTGAAAATCAAATGAATTAATAACGGAAAATTCCTTACCACTCTTTGACGGTGAGCCAGCAATTCTAAATGCCACACACGGCGTAAAAACTCCCGGATAACTAGCATTTGGATCTGCATCGCGGCAAGTGAGTCTGGTAACCACAACTTTCCCCTCAGCAGCCTCCCTGAGTCCAGCCTCACCGGTCCACCTGAGAAATGCTCTCCCCTCATCGCGAAATAGTCTAAAAGGTGGCTCCGGACTCGAGAGATTCCTCAATTCCGACCAGCCCGGCTTCCCCAGCTGCTGAGCTCCCACAATTCCGCAGACTGGTGTCTTCACGCCTGAACAATAATCACCTTGAGTCTAAAATTATGGATGATTAAATTTACTACACACCTTCAAACAGTATCTCCGCTTGGGGGTAAACAATCTGCCCACATTGCGGTAGAAAAACGTACGGCACTTTCTCAATGGCTCCAGAACTACCGAGAAACCCAGCGACACTGCACTCTGTAGAAAAAACCGAAACAATGACTCGTGAATAATCAGCAATCAACGCAGTGTGACTTTGCTTATCTAATCTAGCGGTAAATCAAGGGACGAGATACCGAAGTCAGTTCAACTTGAATATAGGAACAATGGGATTTAACTGTAATTCATTTGACGATTGGAAAAAAATCGATGGAATCTGCGGAGATATGTCCTCTCGTGAGTTTCCGAGTTTGTTTGGAATTTCACAGAGAGGCAGAACCATGAGGCAAGGTTGTTGATGAAGACCTACTGGTGTACGGAATTCTAAATTGTTTGGATTTCTTTCATATTGTAAAAAATCGGAGTTCCGAGGATTTTTGAATGCTTATGAATAAGACAGCCGAAGGTTGTAGGTCACTAAATCATACTGGCCGTTTATGTATGCTTTTTCATACACTGAGAGAAAAATATAATTCTTCTGACTATGTTCCATCACCATCGAATTATAGTCAAAAAATCCTCAACAATTTTTCATGGGTTACGGTAACTATGGCCGGAGAAGTAATTACTACAATGGAATGTAGTCATTGCTACTATTTTATAGTTCTCCTCACGATAGATTTGTCGTGGTTACTTTTGAACTTTCGTTAGTTTAACTGCATTTTGATTTGCAAAAATTACGCTTGTGAAGTTACTATAATGTTATGTGCCGCATACAAAAAAAAATCGTATCGTTCACCAAAATGCGTCAACTATTTTCTTATTGTAAATCGAACTTCAGATTTTTCTCTCAGTGTATAAACATACTAGATTTCAAACACTGAAAAGAAAAAGTTTTGGTTTTTCTAATTCTTATAGATTTTTATAGATCTGTGATTCTACAATTTAACGAGTGAGGAATCTTCGAATTAAGTGATTTTGTTACCAATTTTTAGTGGCATGATCTTGAAAATCAGACACAAAACCGGAATCTAAGGGGGTTTGTCCCTCAATTTTGGTGACAGAGTCTTTGAAGCTAAATATGCGGAAAAAAATATATAAATTCACCATCTAGTTGTTGAGGTTCACTAACTGGTTGGTAATTCATTTTTTTTGACACACGTAGAGAAATATTCAATAAAGATTACGTATCTTTTCCGTAATTCCGGAGCGAAATGTGGTTGTAGGAAATTTTATGGAACTGTCACGGAATTTTTCCAGAGCGGTTCGTAATTTTTATCTGAATATCCTGTGAAAAATTACGATACCGTCACTTAAATTTTCTGAGACCATTCCGTAATCGGTGAGCGAATTGCGAGTTCCGTAATTTGTATTGAACATTTCGCTCCGTGCAACTAGTTGGTGGAATTCACCAAATAATTTTCTCCGAGTTTCTACTCTATTACTAAAATTGAGGGATCAGCATACTGATGTTGATTACAGTGTCAAGAATTATCCCGGTAAACTGGGGCAATGGGTAAGTTCGTTGGCTCATATGCTCGAGGTCCCGGGTTCAAGATTTGGGCCAGTAGAATATGGTGCGATATGACTATTTAAAGTTGGATCAGATTCCGTGGTACAGTCGAAACTGAGTAAGATCGATGTAAAATACTTATTGAAAAAAAAGTGTTAAGAATCCCTGAAAATCAGGGATAGATCATTGGTAATTTAGAGATACATAAAAGCAAAAAACAATTTCCTCTGTGAAGGTATGAGAGCCTCACTCAGCTAAGATTTTCCAATTCTCGAGGGGCCGTGCTCTTTGATATCATTTTGATATTTTTCAACAATTAGTCACTTTCTTCATTTTTCTTATACACGGCAACGCACGAGAAAAAAATCATCTTGAATCGAACCGGAAAGTCGGTCTGAATTAAATCGGACTGAATCATAACGGGAATCAACTTATTTGATTCTATTCGATTTTTCGAGTTGATTCAAGTTGATTTTTCGGCTTGATTCAAGTCAAATTTCGGCTTGATTCCAGTTGATTTTTCGGTTTGATTCAAGTCAATTCTTCAACCGCCCCCTGTATAACTCCCAAGAATCACTATGAATTAAGTAAAAAAAATCAACTTCAATCAAGTCGTAAAATCTACTTGGATCAAGTCGAAAATAGACTTGAATCAAGCAAAAAATCGACTCAAATCAAGTCAAAGAATCGACGTGATACGTTTCTTCTTGAAGCAATCTACTTTTCTGCTTTATCAGGTCCGAAATTCGGATCGATGGAGTCCGAGTCACTCGACTTGAATCAAGCCGAAAGTCGACTAGAATCAAGCCGACGTCGACTTGAATCAATACGTTTTTCTGGGTGCGTGGGGAGGGGGCGGACGCCTAGTGGTGAGATTTGTATCTCCCTTTTCATCACGAGTTAACCCTCTAGCTGCCGTTCAGGCGATTTTAAAGAAATTGTCTCAGTCACATGCCCATTTCACACTGTACCCTCTCGATGCTTTCTTTATATATCCTTGACAATTAGGTACTAAGAGAGACATGTGCAAAGAAATAATCGAGGGGAGTGAATTTATGCGTCGAAAATCACCGTGAATTATTCGCCATAGGCGATAGCGGGCCGATGAATGTAACTCAACGTGAATCGTTAATCTTATCCAAGGCCGTTCGTACAGTCCCGGGAGACCACGATTCCATTGGACAAGCCGTGATTTACGCGCCTGCGACTTTTCCCGTTTCCCTGGGTTTTTTTCTATCCTCTTCTTTAATTTATGAAATGTTTCTACGTCTGGAAAAAATCATGTTCTCCTGAACTTTGGCACCGTAAACTTGGGTCAGAGGATTTCTGGCCCCTAACTGATAAATTAAACGAGAAATTATGTGGGGTTGAGGGACGGAAGATGTCTGGTTTTGGAGAGAAGTGAGAGGAACCACTTTTCTGATAAAGTGGGTGCCATTAATTCAACGGAAGTCAACGGGGCCACTGCCACACCGGGTCGCCAGATTCAGTGGTGACGGTGACCCGCTGAGACACCTGTCCGCGTTGCGGTACTTTTTGGTCCTTGAAAAGCTCGAGGAGTTGTATAATTGGCCCAGCAAATTAAACTTGTTTAATTTTTCTCTGATTTTTTTGCAGCGCTTCACCTGAGAAGAAGAATCTTCTCGATGATCTCTTCTGATATTTTAATTGACTTACTTCTCACCATTCACCCATCCGGCTATCGAAAACGCTTTTCATATTGCTTGAGGAGAGGAAAGGTTTCAGGGGCCTATCAGAAATTCCTCGGAATTGTATTGATATTGACTATTGGGTCGGAGAATTCATTTGAACTCAGAGCAAGGATCGCCAAGTGAGCTTCGAAATTTGAATGTAATTTCTGAGCCTGATAATGAGATAGTTGTCGACTTTTTTTAAAGCAAATGAGTTTCGAGATGGGGAGACGGAATAAAGATAATTTACAGTTCATGTTGAAAAATGGAGAATACGCAGTTTGGGAAAATCCAGACTACACGCGAATTTATTCCAATACTTTAATATCAACTGATTTATGAAAGTTTTAAAAGTGGTTAGGCCTCAGAATTTTCATTCAGGCGTAGTTTAGTGGAGAATTTTATGGATTACCAAAAAATTTTCTCGACATTTTTCTTGTCCCTATGAATTTCTGAAAATTCCCGATAGATATCTGATTATAAGAAAAAAATTGTTTTTTAAGAAGTACGTCTTCACGTGTTTCAAGAAACTCATGGCTCGAAAATTGAGAAGAAGCAAATATCTTACACTGACTGTAAGAAAAAAAAAATATTCGTCAAGAGATTTTGTGCTTGTGTCAAAGACGAGGATAAATTTGTTTATGACAAGAAAGTGATTTATTCAATAGTTTTCCAGTCTCAAATCGAAAATATTTTAATGCAAAAACCTGACTTGATGCAGGAAAAAATTTAATAAAAAAATCTAGCGAATTCGATGGACAATTATATTGGATTTCTATTGAAATTTTTATCCGTTTTTGGCCAATGCTATTGAAATGTTCAATAGATAATATTCTATTGAAAAAATCAGTGAAATGAGATATTTTCTATAGAATTTCCTCGGCTCAAGTTTTCTAAGTTTATTTCATTCGATTTTTCTTTTCATCAAGGAAATCAAACAAAAAAACTTGGAAAATTTGAGCCGAGAAAATTCTATAGAAAATATCTCAATAGAATAAATTGTATAGAAAAATCGAATTCTATTGACTTCATCTATAGAATATTGTCTATTAAATATTTCAATAGAATCAGCTAGAAACTAATAGAAAGTTCAATAGAATTCCAATAGAATTGTCTAGCAAATTCGCTAGGGTTTGCAATTGAATTTTTTCAGACGTAATTTTTTGGTCAAGTACAAAATCCCTTGCCGAAAGTTGTTCTGTCTCGGTGTAAGATATTCTTTTCTTATCAATTTTCAAGTTATGAGTTTCTTGATACAAATAAAGTCCTACTACTCAAAAAAATTGTTCTTCTCAGTGTGCACCCATCTCTCGAATTTAGAACTTGCTTGCATTTTCATTGAAATTCTCTATAAATTAGATCTTCCACACGGAGAGAAATGTTCGGTAAAAATTACGGAACGCTCTGGAAAAATTCCGTAACGGTTCCGTAAAATTTCCTATAACCATATTTCGCTCCGGAATTACGGAAAAGATACGTAATTTTTATTGGATATTTCTCTCCGTGCAATCGATAAATCATTTGAAATTTGATATTGAATTGTCCAGTAATTTGTCGAAGAATATTTATGTATGATCAATGGAAGAAGAACGGTCTAGACGTCCCGGGGAGGGTCGTGATAATTTCATTCGGGTTGCACACTCGGCCATCAGTATACGCAGTTGAACCTGGAGTTTTATTGCCGTCGATGACTGATGATCCACGTGATGACGAAGTCGCTTTATTTATCGTTTTCGCACGACCCAGAGCCGCGTACGCTCATGCGTCATTCTCCTGATTTCCTTTGGCTTTGAAAAGGTGGCGATCTTGATTTTGATAGAATGAATATACCTGAAGACTGCATTAGATTCATACCCAGAAGGTTTATAATCGCGCCCCCTTTTATAATAGATTACTGTAAGAAGTACTTTTCTCCATATGAAGTAGACTTCTCCGGAGTAGGGGTTTGATCCTTCTACACTCAATTAGTTGTGTAGCGCTTATTTTCTAAATGCCGAAAGATAAAATCCGAAACTATTGTGCTATCATGTGAACTAACTTGAGCATGCGAAATCAATGGACACCCTGAGAGCAATCGATGCCATTTTTCGGGAGGCGAATGCACGGAGAGAAATATTCAGTAGTAATATCACTAGTGCTTCAAAATTATCGGATATTTTCCGATAGCTTCGTTGCCTAGGAACGATTGTGTCAAATTTTGCAGGTTTAAAATCCCGAGTGCGAAGTATGAGGGATTTTTCTGCAAAATTTGACACACACGTTCCTAGGCAGAGAAGCTTGAGGAAAATATCTGATTAATTTTGAAGCACGAGTGGTATTTGACGGATTATTTTTCCACTCGGATTTCGGCCAAGCAGAGTGCAGTGAATAGCATCCGGATACATTTACACAGCCATATATTCACAACCCACTTTTTTGTTTGTCTGTCACACAGAATATTAAACGTGAAATGCGTTGAAAGATGAGAAACATTTGAAAAGCTACTAGTGAATTTTCGTCGGAAATTTTTTAGAAATTTCCGAAATAAAACTGCTTGACAGCCTGAAATACTGCCCTCTGATTGGCTGAAATCCGACTGAGAAAAATAATCAATAAAAATTACGTATCTTTTCCGTAATTCTGGAGCAAAATGTGGTTGTTAGGTAATTTTCCGGAACTGTCACGGAATTTTTCCAGAGCGTTCCGCAATGCTGATCTGCATCTTCTGCGAAAAATTACGATACCGTCACTTTAATTTTCTGAGTCGATTTCGTAATCGGCGAGCGAATGGTGAGTTCCGTAATTTTTACTGAATATTTCTCTCCGTGGGGAGTTTTGAAAGTTTTTCAAAAGTGACATTTTTTAATGAAAGATTTCGCGTTTTTACAGATATAGTTCTGTGAAAGACCAAACTCTTTGATCAAAAGGAGAATACGGCGTTTGAATGAAATGTCACTTTTAAAACCCTACTGCAGACACATTTTATGGACAATTTTGTAGCAGCCATCGGAAAAATTATATTATTTAAATACAATTATTTTTTCACAATAGTTATAAAACCATTCAATAACATTAAATAAATTTTCATCATTACATTATTAATAATCAATTAATCTCAAATTTTCCATTATATTGTAACGAATCTTCAACTTCTCAATTGCGTTCCATAATTTATTTATTCCGTTCTTTCTCCCGAATCTCTCCTCTGAAGTTCGCGTCATTCTTTTGTCATTCATTATTCTTTTTCTTTCCGTTTTTTACACTTCCTGTTATATTTTTCTTCGCCTCGTTTAATTGCAATAAACTATTATTTATTTTAAACCTGCGTGTTCTTCAATATTATCAATTAGTAATTGCCATTGAAGATTAACGATTACTTAGTTGATCAAAAATTAGTTTAAGAAATTTCACATTATCCAATTAATGATCGCTCGACAATTTTTAATTCCCATCGGATTGTCAAGTTTCATATTTCAATCAAGGCAGGTGACATTCTATCTTTCCGCTCGTTCCGTTCAACGCGAATGCCGTAGCGTGGCGCTACTTGGCATTCGCGTTGGATTTAAGGGATCACTTATCTTCGCGCGCCAGAAAAAAATCCGTAGAGAAATTTAGCGCATTCGTTAGAAAAGTCTATCAAATTTACGTGGAACTGTTACTTGATAAAAATTTCTAACATGCGTACCGAAATTTTCTACCAAAAATGTTCAACGGCCAAAAAAAATCATGAAATCTCAAATTTTATTGGGCATGCAATGAATTCCAATTCTTGAGCAGTAGATAGACGGGAATTCGACTATTTATTTGAATTTTCAACCGAAACATGAATCTCCAGTATTAAATAACACTGAATTGTCAATTTATCTCAAATTGGAAATTTGAGAATATATTAATCTGAACTCTCTTGATTTCTATGAAATTTCATGGAATAATTGAATTGAATTTCACCGTTTCCATCGACAGAATTTATTGAAATGTCCTCGGAACTGATATTCGATCAAAATTTCCGAAAGTCTACCGGAAATTTTTACCTGAAATTTTTAACTATGATTTTTGAAGCAATTATTCTATTCAATCATAGATGTAGAAACGACTGTATATATTGAGCTTTATATATTGAGATACTCTCGACTGGATTAAACTCGAATTGAAGCGAAATCAAGAAAGAAAATTAATCCAATAAATGAGTCTTCGAAAGTCTTCAAACGAGAGAATGAAGCGACATTGGTCGGTGAAAGTGTTGACTGATGGTGACGATTTTTCAGAAAGTACCGAATCTCTCTTTCACCTCCCTGATGGGCAAGTAAGATCCATCGAGTTTCTCAAATTGAAAATTTGTCCATCTTTTCCATCATCCTTTGGTCCGAATTTTAATGAATCCAGTATGATAATTCAGCCGTTCCTGATGACTAATGTGAATATTATTCTCGACTCTTAGCTGTTGATATTATTGATCGATTTCCCATTAATAACACACCTGATCCGATGAAATTCTCATGTTTACACAAGTCATTATCTCCGCGTACGCAGTTCTCCCCCCGAAATATTGCACGTGACCAGAAATTATTATTCAATCAATTCCGTCCCATCATCGTCTTCTCGTTGTTCCTTGATCAAAGCCCGCGCAAAGGTAAACAAAAAAAAGAGAAGGGAGAGCACGGAAAAAAGGTAAACGATCTTGAATAACCGGATTTGGGTTACCTTAATATCGCGTGTTGGAGGAATCGTGGCAATTTCTCTCATGGTTAAAATTTGGATACTAATGAATATGTTCAAATTGTGGAAACATTTTTTCACGCAGAGGAGCCTGAATACTTGCTCCATAATGACACATCTCGTTGATAAAAATTACATGACCTCTGAAATGAATGTAATCGTTCTTCAATCAGATAGGTTGACACCCTGGGGACGTAAACGAGTTAACCAAGTTTACCCGAAAGAAGTATTGCGTCTTACTCACCATGAATATCGCTCACGCAAATGTTGAGGTCTTCCCGAAAAATTGGGGTATTCGATTTGCATTGACAAATGCACGTGGTGTTGATACTGCTCAATCCCACGGATAATTGACGTGTATAGGGTGAGGCTGTCCCCCCGCTGAGTTGAACGCAGGCGTTTTCACAGGAGCCTGAAGAGATAATCAAAGTTAGAGAATGTCTTCATTAAGATTATGAGGTGAGGAGGACGATTCATCTTTTAAAAAAAGAATGTAACATTTCTCTATATTATAAAAGTGCGAATCGACTTCTGGTGATGAAAATTTAGGACACGAAATTAAGACTCCAAAATTAAGAGTCGCGAGGGTCAAACAAGGGTCATGAGTGTCAGAATAAGGGTCCGAGGGACAGAATAAACAGAATTAGGGTCAGTATAAGGGTCACGAGGGCCAAACAATGGTGACGAGGGTCAGAATAAGGATCATAAGGGTCAATTTAAGGGTCACGAGGATCAAACAAGGGTCATGAGGTTCAGAATAAGGATCATAAGGGTCAATTTAAGGGTCACGAGGATCAAACAAGGGTCATGAGGTTCAGAATAAGGATCATAAGGGTCAATTTAAGGGTCACGAGGATCAAACAAGGGTCATGAGGTTCAGAATAAGGATCATAAGGGTCAATTTAAGGGTCACGAGGATCAAACAAGGGTCATGAGGTTCAGAATAAGGATCATAAGGGTCAATTTAAGGGTCACGAGGATCAAACAAGGGTCATGAGGTTCAGAATAAGGATCATAAGGGTCAATTTAAGGGTCACGAGGATCAAACAAGGGTCATGAGGTTCAGAATAAGGATCATAAGGGTCAATTTAAGGGTCACGAGGATCAAACAAGGGTCATGAGGTTCAGAATAAGGATCATAAGGGTCAATTTAAGGGTCACGAGGATCAAACAAGGGTCATGAGGTTCAGAATAAGGATCATAAGGGTCAATTTAAGGGTCACGAGGATCAAACAAGGGTCATGAGGGTGAGAATAAGGATCATAAGGGTCAAGAGGATCAAGTAAGGGTCAGTATAAGGGTCACGAGGGTTAGAATAAGAGTTATGAAGGTAAAAAAATGGTCTCAAGGATCGGAATAAGGGTCACGAGGATCAGAATCTGGGTGATGAGGGGCAGATTAAAGGTGAATATTTTAAGTTAACAAATTAGGGATTTTCAGGGAAAGATGCGTTAGGGAGTGGGTGATTAGAAGATAATCAATCATAAAAATGATTGAATGGAAATTATGTTTGATTTTTTTAATCATTTAAATCAATAAACATTAGCTACGGTAACGACTGTCGAGCGAGAGAGGCCCAGTCTTGGTGGCCAAGAATATCATTTCGTTATCATTCCGGGGTTCAAATAAAAGCTCTGATGTTCACTTACAAAAGTGGAAAAGCATTTTATTGGAGAAAAAGAAGCTAAAGTACTTGGATATCCTTAATAACCCAAAAGTTTTGAATTTTACAACTGCATAAAGGAGAATATCCCTTCTAATTTAAATACAATTAGTGTAGATTCAAGACAAAATGATTAAAAATTAAAACTATTCTCTCCGATTTTTCAGAGAAGTCCTCTTTAGAATGTGAAAACTTGACTTAATGTGGCGATCTTTTGTTCGCGAGCTTCAGTACGACAGAGTTCTGAAATTCAGAGATTTTTACTGGAATCCAAAAATTTGTTTTCTCTATGGCGGACAGTCTTGTCGAAATTTTTCTATAAAGATTTTATAATATTGCATGAAAGTTCTGTTCGTCAACATCAATTGGATCCATGATCCAATTTTCGAGACAGGGTCAACTGATTAGTGTTCGAATGAAGCAGTAATCGAACTAATTTGTTACTTTTCCCTAGGAATAAATTGATAGACGGCAGTGATAACCAAATTACATGCAAAAAATGAAATTAGAACTTTTCAAGATGATGTTATAGTCATTAAAGACCTTTGAGCCTAGTATTTCCGGCAGATGAGAGAGCGAGAGAGAGATTAAGATGACTCGAAGAACGAGAGCACGTCAGTCTCGAATTTCTATTACTAGACAGGTAGTTTGATTGCTAAGGTTACACCCATTTTCATTTTTTTGTATTCTTGTCAATTTTACCATCGCATTAATATCAATTATATATTTTTTTTATGACGGTTTTGTGTTACGCCCTTGTGCAAGACCCTCGTGCAAGCAGGTGTTTGGTCATGATGATTCACAGATTGTTCTAATAGTTCCCACAACAAAACGTTTCCATTTTAGAGTATTTGTAATTTATTAGTGAAAATAGCTATACTGAAGCGAAACAAAAGTAATTATCCACTTGTTAAGGTTATCCTTCACGTTATGGAGGCGCGCGAGAGCGTCACCTTCAGTCTCGTAATATATAAGTTATAGAGTTAAATGAGATTCTACCGGTTTTAACAGCTATTCATAATGAAGTACATCGATCCATGTTTGTGGTTTATGATGGCACTGAATTATGAGCAGGAAAATCTAGAAAAACTGGTTGAGTCTTGCGACTGTGTGGAGGATTGCCTGGATCATTGCCGTACAGTCGAAACGGCACAATTACTTTCGTACGTTCTCAAAAGATTCATCGATTACAGACGCTAACTCTGGAATTTTTCCGAACTTTCTCGGTATGAACTCAATCAGGGAAAGCATAGTCAAATTAGACAGAAATTTTTGCGGAAATTTGCGGCACACTTCTTGGAAATTTTCATCAAATGACAGGTCCACTGAAATTTCAAGGCATTGGGACATTGAAGATTCACTGTTTGATGAACAATTTGGTAAATATCAGGAAAATTCAGATACATATTGTATTCTTGAGGTTCCAATTATCTGGGAAATCAGTGTAATGCGGTACTGAACATTAAGGATGTTCTACACCTTTTCGGTCAAAATTCACGTTTTTTAAATTTTTCTCGCGAATTGTCGGTCGGATTGACGCGAAAAAATATAACGTTTCTGCATTTTGTCATTATTTAATGACTCGCAAAGTTGCAAGGTGGTGCGATCATTTTTGTGCATTTTTGCTAAACGTTTAAAAGGAATCACAAAACTGTAGAAAAAACGCAGGAAAATGATCCCACCACCATGACACTGCGTGAGCCATTAAATAATGACAGAACACAAAAACGTTATATTTTTTCCGTCAATCCGATCGACAATTCGCCAGAAAAAGGAAAAAAAACGTGAATTTCAGCCAAAACGGTGTCGAACATCCTTAATATTTCACGTATGGAAAAATTTCATAGTAAACCCTACACTGAGAGAAAAACGACAAAGTTCTCAAACAAGTCTGACTTGTGCCAAGAAAATAGTTTTTTGAAAATTATCGAAAAAGGATTTTTTTGTGCCAAACATGCAGAGAGTGCGCCGGAATGAAAATTTTTTGTCACAAAAATAGATTTAGTAGTTCAAAAAAATGCATTCTCTGTACACGCAAGAAATGTCATTTCTAGCACTACTCCTTATTCGATACTCCCATACGTATTTTGCTCCCGAAAAATCTTCGTTTTATGCGAAACAAGAAATAGTAGTTTTTCGTTTCGATTGTCTAATAATGGCAGACAAGAAATGAACCCTTAAATGAAACAATCATAATGATATGATAGCAATCTTGTAACTTAGGGATAAAATATTTGTTGATAAATTTTCCTCTATATGAGATATTTTCATCCTGAAAAGGTACCGTCTGGTGTGAATTATCCGCTTCTGGCGCCAAATATTTCGTTGCTGTCGAAAGCAGAGCAATTATTCATGTTTGAGACTTTCAAATTCGAACCAAACAATTTCTTTTTTGGCAATTTTCAACTAGCGATTTTGTTGGCCCAAACAAGACTTGTTTGACAACGTGTTTATTTTTCTCTCCGTGTAGCGAATTCGCAAAACTATTCTATTGGATTTCTATTGAACTTTCTAATAGTTTTTGGCCGATTCTATTGAAATGTTCAGTAGAAAATATTCTACAGAGAAAGTCAATAGAATTCGATGTTTCCATACAACTTATTTTATTGAGATATTTTCTATATAATTTCCTTGGCTCAAATTTTCCAAATTTTTTTGTTTGATTTTCTTGGCGAAAAGGGAAGGAAAATAGAATAGAAACGTAGAAAATTTGAACCAAGGAATTTCTACAGAAAATATCTGAATAGAATAAGTTGCATAGAAAAAAAAATTCTATGGACTTCTTCTATACAATATTTTCCATTGAAAATTTCAACAGGATCGGTCAAAATCTACTAGAAAGTTCAATAGAAATCCAGTAGAATTGTCTAGCGAATTCGCTAGGTTTTTCTATTAAATTTTGTCGTGTGTGTTTGATTGAGCATTCAAGTTTGTTGGGGAATTCTCATCTTCTTTGTGCCAACCTTTCATTTCATTGAATGTTCGAAAGCTCATTTTTTTCACTCCTAAACTGAATTCAATATCGGTTTTCTGAAAGTTCTTACTAACTGTTCATGGAATTTAAGTTCGTCTCTGTTAGTGCGATAGAATTGGCTGTTCATTAATCATGTAGGTATTAGCGATCAACTTCATGGACTATCCAAACAAGATAATCATTATCAACTCACCTTCAACCATGAAAATATCTCCATCGACATGTCTCACAACAGAAACTTCTTGCGCTGCCCCGCACGGAAACCGTAAGGCACCCAAAATAACCAGAAGCCACAGTAGCATTTTTCCCTCAGCATTCTAAAAAAAAACGAATAAAAGTCATGAGCTCACATTCACGTGCCAATATCGAAGCCAATTACCATAAATCTCAACAATGTTTGTGATGCTATTAATAATGTTAATTGCCCGTCTTTTTTTTTATTAATTCATATACGAGCTCACCCATTCAACACTTAAAAACCAAAAACACGAAAAAAACAGGATGGATGACCATAAATTTGTCTCATCAAGCCGTGATTTATGGAGAATGATAAATTTGATGGAGTTGGGAAATGCGTCAGTAGGTGTTCCGAACCATTACACGAGGTGTTCAGAACCATCCAAAATTTTATGCTGCCTTAATGGTCAAAATTCTTCGCTGAAATATCCGGTACTTCTTGAAAATTTTATCCAATGACAGTTCCACCCAAATTTAAAGGCACTTTGTCATTGAAGATGAATAATGCAATAAAAAAAAATAGCACCTATAAATTTTATTTCAATTTGAATTCCCCTGATTTGTATCAATTTATATGAAGCTTTATGTAGATGAGTACGAATCAGCGGAATTCAGGTAAATAAGGGATAGCGAGGTAAGATGGACAATGGGGTAAAAGAGAATAGTGTGGAGGTTGATTACTATATGAGGTATTCCATGTCAAATGAGTCAACCCTCTTGGAAACTGATCTCGATTTTTTCTACGATTGGGGGAATTTTTTTTTTTTCAGATTTTTCAACAGTCCATTTCGGAGATATCATTTTTTCTTGGTTTTTTCGTTCTTTGTCCAATAACTCCAGTTCTATTCATTCGATTTTGATTTATGACACGTGAAAATTTTCGATTTTCTACCATCTATAAAAATCTTTTGAGTATTTTTTTGTCAATCGCTCTGTGCTTATAACACTGAATGTTCAAAAAAAAAAAGTTGAAAAATTCGAATTTTCAAAATTATGTCACGTTTCATTTTTCTCGTATTTTTTTCAGTAACTCGTGTAAACAAAACAAGTATTTTGAGCCGTCGTACAAGTTGGGTTTCGTCCTAGATCTATTTTATTTTCATTTTTTTTTCTCGACATTCCACGAATTCGGTCAAAATACCCCAAAATGGCGTTGATTGACTTTCATTATAAACAGTATGAAGTGAATTTAAATATATACTTATGTGTTACGTATTTTTCTGATACATAATTGAAGTCTTTTTGGAGTGTGTTGACCAAATTCGCAGAATTTCGAGAAAAAAAATTAAAAATCAAATAGATCCAGGACGAAACCCAAAATGGATGATGGCTCAAAATACTTGTTTTGATTATAAGAGTTACTGAAAAAAAATGAACAAAATAAAAGGTGACAGAATTTTAAAAATTCAAGTTTTTCTTTTCTTTTTTTTTTGAAAATTCGGTATTATGAGCACCTAGGGATTGAAAAAAAAGATTACCCAAAATCTTCTTATAGATGATAGAAAATAGAAAATTTTGAGCCGTCATAAATTTAAATCGGCGGAATGGAACCCGAGTTAATGAAAAAAATAAAGAAAAAATCATATCTCTAAAATGGACTGTCAAAAAAATTTGAAAAAAGTTGAGAGATAGTTTTTGTAGTCCCCCTATTGTAGAAACATCGAGATTATTTTCCAAAAGGGTGAGGGTCAGCCATTGACTCATTTGGCATGGGATACCTGATATAACTAATTTTACTCGTCAAAGATGTTACTTATGGTAAATACGAATGAGATGGGAACTCGGGAAGGAGGGGCATTCGTGATCATTCCGTAAGGTTGCACGCAAAATATTTCTTGAATTGGGGAGGTGGTGCCTGTACCTCTCAGTGGGTAATTCCGCCCACCCGTATCTTTCATGATTGGCTGCGAAAAAAAAAATATTTTTTTTATTATGCAAATAACAAGAAGTAATTTCAAGAGAAATTTTTCGGTTTTCTTCCGTAGAATGATGATTTAAAAAAATCCAAGTGATGTTCTACTGAATTCATAAAATATTTCGCCCCCAGAATTGATGCTTTTTTAAATTTTCAAACTCTTGGGGTGTTACTACTGATAATTTTTAATAATTTAACTGGTAATTTTTCTTGATGATATCAACAAAAGATTTCCTGGTCGGGTGAGCCCCTCACCCGACCCTCACCAGAGGTTCAAAAGAAAAACAAAAGATTTCCTGGTCGGATGAGCCCCTCTGGAACTGACAGATAGATTTTGTCTCATGGTGCAATTCTCTTGGCCGAAATTTCCATGGAAAAATTCTCAGTAGTAATACCCCGAGTGCTTCAAAATCATCGGGTATTTCCCGATAACTTCGTTGTAAACAAAGTGTCAAGTGTCAAGTTTTGCAGGTTTAAAAATCCCAAACGCTTGCGCGAGGGATTTTCCTGCAAAACTTGACACGATCGTTTGTTTGCAGGGAAGTTTGAGGGAAATACCAGATAATTTTGAAGCACGAGGGGTATTTGTCGGATTATTTTTCACGTACGGATTTTGGTCAGGAGTGTCGTTTACGCAACCTCAAAATGTCATCCGAGAACAATTGAAGAGTTAGTACGAAATATCCGGAAAAATATGTATGTGAGTACGAAATAACCGAAAAAATATATATGTTAGTGCGAAATATCCGAAATAAAACTTCCTCCAGCCTGTCATTTGTCATCAAATGCTGCATTCTGATTGGCTCTGACTGTCCAAAAGCATAGGTGCAAAAATAATCAGTAGTAATATCACGAGGCCTCCAAAATTATCGGATATTTCTTAATTGTTTTGTTGCGTAGCAACGAGAGGGAGAAGTTTTGCAGATTAAAATCCCGAGTTGAAAGAGAAACTTATCCCGACCGTTGATACGCAGGAAAACGTGAGCGAAATGTCCGATTAATTTTGGAGGTCAAGTGGTATTCGACGGATTATTTTTGGTAATCGGTAATCCTTCCCAAACCGACTCATTTTGACTTTCTTCATGACTTTCTTTCACTCCACAGGATAATATTTGACAGTTATTT